GTATATTTGGGCTCCAAGGTCTCTGGCTGTGACTCTACATTGTCTCCATAAACACTGTTTTTCTTACCTCTTTTCACCTGACTGGTTCTTGCCCTCTGCCCTGTACCTGCCACTCCCATATTTTGTGGGATAATGATCCCAGGGTTGGCAAATTTTTTCTGTAAGGGTCTGATGGTAAATATTTGAGACTTTGTGGTCCAGGTGAGTTCTGCCCCAACTGCTCAACTCTGCCTTTGTAGCAGGAAAGCAGCGACAATGTGTGAACAAATGGGTGTGGCTGTGTTCCAATAAAACTTTATTAGCAGAAACCTGTGGTGGATTTGCTGTCCCAGAAATTTCACTTGGTCTACTGACATGATATGGTTGTGTCTTCAGTCAAGAAGGCAGAAGGGATGCATGTTACGTTCAAACCAGCATGCACCTGAGCCTCTAAAAGGTCCGGTTCTAGCTGCCATGTGAAAGTGTGATGCAGGAGCAACAGCATGGAGCAGGAAACAGGAATTTCACAGCCCAAAATACTCAGGAGCTTCACATATTGCCATGTTTCTTAGCTTATCCTCAGACCACCTGCAGAGCCCCCAGCACTAGCCCAAGCCTAGTGAGCCATTAGCTCAGAGGTGGGGCCAGAGAATCCGTATTTCAAACAGCTACAAAAAAATCTTAAAATATTCAAGGTTTGAGTAGAAGTGTTCCAGCCAGCAGACAGACACCCCAGGCCTGAATCAGATTTTTGAATCAGTAGCTCCATCACCCGGAGGGAAAAGACAGAATGGGGAGACGGGAGAGGGAGGCGAGTCTGTGTGTTTGCAGTGCTGCCAACTGTCCCCCTTTCTCTTCTGGAATAGCGCTCTAATTACCTGCACCGGCAAGTGCTCCAGTTCACCAGGCAGTATGCCAACGTCCGTGTCACCCCCTGGAGAATGGCCACCATCTGGGGGGGCGCCAGCCTCCTGTCCACCTACCTGCAGAGCATGCGAGACCTGCTGGAGATGACAGACTGGCCCTGGGACTTCTTCATCAACCTCAGCGCAGCTGACTATCCCATCAGGTAAGGTGCCAGCACCTCCCACCAGCCTGTCTGGGGTCCTGCATCCCTCATTCCCTCTGCTCGTAGCTGGGCATTTGGAATGCAGAGACAGGGTGCTTCCTGTCTGGAGAAGCATCTCTGCCCAGCAAGATGCCAGGGAGGAGCTTATGTATGTGCATCTCCCCTAAGATCTCTTTAGAGACAATTCAGCTTGGGCCTAAGAATCGCTCATAAATGCCTTCATTCATTCATTCATTCATTAAACAGGTACTTTCTGAGCACAGCTTTCCAACTCTGTTCTAGGATATGCTGTAATTATTGTTGTTCACTGCTATCGAGTCAGTCCCCAACTCCTAGTGACCCCATGCACAACAGAACGAAGTGCTGCCCAGTTGTGTGCTAGCCAGTTGGTTGCAGATCAGACCATGGTGATCCATAGGATTTTCAAGGTTGATTTTCAGAAATAGATCTCCAGGCCTTTCTTCCTGGTTTGTCTTAGTCCGGAAACTCTGCAGAAACCTGTCCATCATCACAGCCACACACCAGCCTCCACTGCCAGAGGAGCGCCACTCTGTGGCCGTGTATGAGGTGCGTGGGCCAGGAATCCAACCTGGGACCCGGAAGATGAGAATCCTACCACCCAACTGCTGGTGCCCGGCTTGTTCTAGGATAGAGTAGCATACAGAAGAGAGCAAAAGTCCTGTTCCATGGAGTTTTCATTCAAGTGGTGGAGATAGACAGACAAACAGCAAGTAAAATAGTATGTTAGAAAAATAAAGCAGGGCAAGGGGATAGGGTACGCCAGAGCAGAAGTTGAGGAGAGCTGCAGTTTTAATGAGGTGGCCAGGAAGAGTGCAGCTGAGAAGCTGACATTCAAGCAAAGAATGCAAGAAAGTGGAGGAGCAAGTTAGGGCAGTGGGGAAAGTGGTCCATCTCTGAGGTGGGGTAGGCCTGTTGCATTAGGAGAAGAGCAGGGAGCCAGTATGGCTGGAACAGAGTAAGTGAGGGGTAGAGCAGTAAGAGACGAGATGTCAGAGATCTCATTAGGATTGATGATAGAGATTCTAGAATCTGGCTTATGCTCCAAGCAAGATGGGAGCCATTGGCGTGTTTTGAGCAGAAGACAGGCAAGATGTGACTTCGATGTTAAACTGAAAGGGCAGGAGAGTGGGAAAAGGGAGCGTTGATTGATTTTGGTTGTTCTCTTAAGGCAGGCCTCTTATAACTGGTTTAATGTGGTGTCCTTGTTTGTTTCCACTGAGTTGATTGTGACTCATGGGAGCCCCGTGTGTGCAGAGTAGAACTGCTCCATAGCTTTTCAAGGCTCTGACCTTTCAGAAGCAGATGGTCAGGGCTGTTTTCCAGGGCATCTCTGAGTGAGCTCAAACTGCCAACCTTTTGTCTGGTAGTAAAGCGCTTAACCAAGGACTCTGGGAGGTTGGGTCGGAGCAGTCCAGGCAGGATCGTAAACAGACATCCATTTGAAGCCACAAGTGTGTTTGCTCGGCCATTATTGAATTTTAACAAAACAATTGTCCTCAAGTAAACCTGGGAGATCTCACACACAACTACAGACGTGGCTTCTCTTGAAGACGCCCCTTCTGGGCCCGCATTCCTGCTGGGCCACAGGGGCCTGGAGCAGGTCAGCCGGCAGCCCAAGGTGGTAGACACAGAAGCAGCAGCATTTCCAGAGGCCACCAGGAAGACCTGTCCCTTTGTAAAAACATTGATTTCCTTTTTTAAAATAGACCGTAAGCAAATGAAACCCCTCCGGATCTCTTATAAGGAAAACAAAAACAAACTAGAGTATAATACATTTCTTAACAGCAAGGTGGCACTCTACTTTGACTGGGATTTCCATCCCACTTTGTCAACAAAGGTGGGGCTGAGGGGGTGGGAGCTTCCTTCCTCTGATAGTCACATGAGGGCCCTGATGCAGCCATCACCAGGAAAGCTTGGATGAAGCCATTGTAAAAAACACCACCAACAACAAAAACTTCTATCAGGGCAATTTCAAACATACAGGAGACTACCAAGAATAGTATAATGGTCTCCACGTATCCATCACCCAGTTTCAACAGTGATCAACTTATTGCTAATCTTGTTTTTTCCATATTCCCACTCTCTTCCCCCAATGCTAGATTATTTTGAAGCAAATGCAAGACAAATCTATTATTGCATCTATAAATATCCCACTATACATCTCTGAAAAATAAGGTGTATCTTTTAACGTAACAGCAGCATGGTTCTTCTTGTTTATAGTTGCCTACAAGTTGGCTCTGACTGTTAGCAACGCTGCGTACAACAGAACAGAACGCTGTCGATCCTGCACCACCTCACACTTCTTGCTGTGTTTGAGCCTATTGTTGCAACCGCGGTATCAGTCTGTCTCGTTGAGGCAGACTCTGTTATTTACTGACCCTCTACTTTAACAAGCACGATGTCTGTCTCCAGTGATTCATCCTCCTGACAACGTGTACAAAGTAGGTGTGATGAAGTCTCACCATCCTCACTTCTAGGGGACATTCTGGCTGTACTTCCTCCAAGACTGATTTATTCCTTCTTCTGAGTCCACAGTATATTCAGTATTCTTGGCCAACACTACAATTTGAATGCATCAATTCTTCTTTGGTCTTCCTTTTTCATTGTCCAGTTTAACAGTCATTCCTTTTTGAAAAAAAAAAAAAAATTTTATTGTGATTTGGGTGAAAGTTTACAGAGCAAATTCATTTTTGATAGAGCAGTTCATACAGTTTCTAACAGTCATTCTTAATGTCATCAAATATCCAGGTCACATATTCCCAAGAGTGAATTTTGAATCAGGATCCAAGGTGCAGGCATGAGAAGCTTCTCTTTAAAGTTGAAAGTGCCCTCTGTCCCCTTCACATTGTGGCCCCTGGCCTTGGTGCACCCCCTCATCTTCAGTCCTGGGCTTTGTGGTATCCTATCGATGCGGTGCAGGATCAGGTGATAGCACTTGCCCAGTGAGTGAGGCTGCAGGTATCACAAGTATGGCTGGGCAGGGTGGCTCCTGACTGCTGGGAAAAAACAAAAATTTAATGGGAAGTGGGAAGGAAGAATAAAAAAGCAGAAAAAAACAAGGAAGGGAAAAAGGAAGACATAAGAAGAAAGAGGGAGAAAAGAAAAGAAAGGCAGCATAGCCCTGGCTTCTAGGCACTGCTTTTGCTATGTCCCAAAGACTTTGGTATGATTAATAGCCAATTAATCAGGATTTCTAGCATTTCAGTATCAAAGAGGATTAGTATTCACACACTTGTCAGATGACGGAGGGTTCGAATCTGAATTTTGCCGTTTAACTAACAGTGTCACCATCAGCAAGGAGATGCAATCTCCATGAAATTGCGATATGATAATAGAGCCCAGCATAGTGTTAGACACATAGAAAATGCTTGATAAACATCAACTGTTAGTATCTCCTCTACACCCAGGCTGAATCTCGTATCTCTGAGGGACCCAGAAGGCCTTCCTTAGACTGTGTGCTCATGCTATTTTGGGGTTCAGAAGAGAGAGTCATCACGTTGATAGTTGTGTTGGCTTTAATGCTCCACTTGTGTGTCTCGCCAGCCTGCGTCCTCTCCTGCAGCTCTCGCCTCTATTTCCCCTGGGCCCCCAGCTCTGCTGCCCACTCTACGGGCAGCCTCACAGCCTCACAGCCGGAGGCACTTCATGAATCAAGCACTGCTGGTTCCTTTTGCTGTTGTTTTTGTGAAGTCTTCCCACATGAAAACATATGACTTTCGCAGATGAATGGTTTTTTCCTGGGCAACTCTGATAGACATTCACTTCCCATATGTTGCTCCATCTGTAGCAGCCAAAACTGCCACTTCTCCTATCCCAGGAAAGATGAGCAACCTTAGAGTTTCTCAAAGGGGTGAGAATACCCAAGCCAGAAGCTTCTAAGAGACTCTGAGAATTTGGGGAATAGCCGAAGGGCAGAGCCCACCCAATATGGCTATTCTCTACTCTGAGCTCCTCTGAGATTTTTCATTTCCTCCCTGTGTTTCGTTCCCAGCCCTAACTGGGGGTGTGGCTCTTCCCCTCTTAGTAAAGGCTTGTTGGTCTTTACTGGTTACTAGCCTTGTTTTTGCCCTAGATGCAGACTTCTGGGGTTCAGGCTCCATACCACCTGTGGCTGGCCATGTGAATTGAGATCAGTTTCCCCACCTAAAAACCAGCCACAATAACCACTGTTATCATAATAAATTATTGTAATCAAAATAAACCACATAGCTTATCGTAGGACTGGTGGGAAGATTGAGATGTTTCCTGTTAGGACTTAACACAGTGTCTAACACACAGTAAGTGCTCAATAAATGCAGGCAGCAAATATTGCTGCAGTGGAGTATTGGAGGCACTCCAGCTGGGGCTTAAACATCAACTGGGTGATCTGCCCTTTAGAAGTGATAGAAGGCCAGTAAAATATCTCTGGAGTCAATGGGTGGTAAAAATAGTTAATGTCCTTGGCTACTAACCCAAAGACTGGAGATTTTCGTGCACCTAAAGGTGCTTTGGGAGCTCTGGTAGCGTAGTGCCTAAGGCACTTGACTGCTAACCAGAAGGCTGG